GCCCAGCTGTGAAGCAATGCAAGCTGCTGTGGGGCCTTGGGCCTTCTTTTGGAAGTTCTGGGTCTCTCTGACCCAGCTGCAGTTTGTTAGCTAATTTTCAGATTGCAAAGGGCCAGGCCTTTCATATGCAAAAGCCTCTGCTGCAGCTTGGGTGTGGCAGAGTCTCAGGGAATCAACAGGGCAGAGCAAACAGCTATGGCTGCTCCTCATTCCTACCCTAATAGTCCCCGCATCTCAGTGTCCCGGTAATCGCTGCAAGCACCTCTGAGAGAAAACCACCCTCGAGTTCTGCCCAATGCCAGACAGTCCAGTTTCTCCCCGTATGAGTCTGGGTCTCCAGAAACTCACCCGGAACTGGAGTTCAGAGCAGTTGGGAGCTTGTGTTTGCCTCCCAATTGAAAAAGACAACCAAGTCCTCAGTTGCCAGACCTTTCTGCGTGCACCTCCGTACCTCTGCACTTTACTTCCGCACCTCCTCTGAGTCTCAGTGTGCTTTTATCTTTCTCTCTAGTTGTATAATTTCGACTCAGCCAGCCTTCCTGTGGTTCTGGATGATGTCCGTTTTGTCTTTTAGTTGTATTTTTGAAGTGGTTGTGCGAGGCAGCAATTTCCGGTGTTTACCTATGCCGCCATCTTGGTTTCTCCTAAGCCAGTCAATTTTCACAAGGATGCAGTTTTTTTTCCAGGTCTTCGTTTTCAAAATATTTTGAAAAACAGCTTTGAAGGCTGGGTCAGCATGGGTTATTTGAACTAATACCCACTCACACTGCATTTTCCCTGTTCTTTTAATTGGTGCCTTTCCCTCCCTGGGCAGTAGATGAGAGTTGGAGATAAAGCCCTATGCCAAATCTACAATAGGAATTCCTTTGGTTCCCTTGTGCTGAAACCAGTCAAAATCTGAATAATCCTGAACCAAATAGATTTCCCTTCTCTTCTGTCCTCTCATGGCACCAAGTTGTGGGGTGCATGGACGAGACAGCGCAGAAGGGAGCTCATAGGGAGGCATAACTTGTTGGTTTCTTTAAAAACTTTGAGGTCTAAATTACATACGATAGTTTACCCATTTAAAGTTTGTAATTCAATGGTTTTTTAGTATATTTAGAGTTGTTCAACCATACCACAAGCCAATTTTAGAAATTTTCATCACCCCTATATAAACCCAATATCCACTAGCAGTCACTGCCCCTCACTCGCTCACCCCAGGCCTTGAAAACTACTAATCTACTTTCAGTCTCTATAGATCACAAAGAACTTTTTACAAATGGTGGTAAAACATACATAACATACAATTTACCATTTTTTATGGCTTGATCCCTGGTGGGGAACATGTGGGAAGCGGCCGATCAATGATTCTCTCTCATGATTGATGTTTCTATCTCTCTCTCCCTCTCTGAAATCAATAAAAAAATATTTTA